ATAGTTCAAATGTGTGTATATATTCCTATTACAACTTCTTGTCTTTATACTCAAAGATATTAACTTTAGAAAAAGACACAAATAGAATATACTTATTGCAGTAAAAGAAAATAAGTTGGAAATTTATTAGACCTTTCTAGCAGAAACAAAATATTTCCTATTTTCAAATAAGAACATTAAATCCGTAGGACATTTTTTGTTTTCATATTAATATTCTATTTGCAGTCTATATACGACTGATAACTTTAATATAGCTATTCGATATACACACATATACACACAAACTGGTTAAAAATGAACAGCAGAGTTTTCTTTTCTATTACATAATCTAAATATGGGTAACTAAGCTTTATCCTGGTTATATGTAAATATTTAATCTTTTAATTTATAAACTTATTTAGCAACAATTTGAGAAGGAAAAATTGAGTTTAACGTACTAAATTTATCATATTGGCTGGTACAATATGCACATTTGAAAACACTTAGCTGCCTTATATTGAAACATCCTCTTCCTCATCACTATTTATTTTTCCAATTTTGCTATTCTACTGTTTTACATTATTATCACTTATCTCCCACTTTTCTCTCCCTTTTCACTTTATCTTGCTTTTATAATTTTCAGTCGGTAGTATATTGGAACAAAAGAGGCAAAAGCAGGTAATGGTTTTAGAAAATGACTTGCTGATTACTGAAATCAATAGTTCTTTCGACTGCCACTGCTCTACGGAGTGGTCCGGAGATTCTAGCAAGGTTAATGAAGAGGGGGAGAAGGGAACCCAGACGGGAAGTAGAAAGATCTTAATTGTATTAAACCAGTGGAAGTTGCTGACAGGATGGTGTAAGCTCCCCATTTTCTGTTTTGAGACAGCACACCTTTGTAAAGAAGGGCACACCCTTGCTGATCAATGCCTCATATCAGAAAATGTTTCTCATTATTTGGCAAACTTTCAACTTAGTAGACAGACCATCCTTGGTGGTCCTGAAGGCAGAAAACCAGGAATGTTTGTGTACTGTTGGCTGTCCTTCTAGAGCCACCCATACCATTGGAGGTAGGCAAGCTCATGGAGATGTTGAAGAGTTAGCAGAATCCTGTAGACTGTGGTAAAGCTGCAAGGCTGCAGAGCTTTGACCAATCAATCCCTGAGTTACCACTTCCTGACTTGTGAATACCCTGGGAATAATGAACAATTGGTTAGACATTTCTCCTCCTATCTCATCTACTGCAGGCTGCTCCAACCCTCATCTTGTAATCATAACCATTCCCAGAGGACAGTTGACTTGGTCCATCCAGAGGTCACATGCAAAACTATCTGTCTTCATATTTCTTTTTCACACCTCAGTTCTTTCTGACATCTTAATAGACCTGGGACCAAAGACCTACATAACACGTTCCTCCTCCTTTTTAAATTTTTCAGTTCATTTTTTTTGTGGCAAAATACATATAACATAAAATTTAGCATCTTAACCATTTTTACAGTTCAGTGGTATTAAGTACATTCATATTTTTTTGTGCAACCATCACCACCATCCCTCTCGAGAACTCTTTTCATTTTGCAAAACTGAAACTCTATACCCATTAAACAATAGCTCCCCATTCCTCTTCCCTCACCAGCCCTGGCAACCACCTTTCTACTTTCTGTCTCTATGATTTTGACTATTCTAAGTGCCTCATATAAATGGCATCATATGGTATTTGTCTTCTTCCCTCCTCCTTTTTTTCTGCCTTTCCCAATTCCATTTAATCTGCTTCAAACATGATCTCTCTCACGGAAGAGGTCAATCTTTTTGAACTTTTCCTTACTTTTTCCCTCGGGGAAAAAGAATTTTAAACCTGCCCTCCTCTCTCTTCCCTTCTTCATTCCATTTATAAGCCTCCCACTTAAAAAAAAAAAAAAAGGAAAAGAAAGTTACTGGGATAATAATTTTCTGATTCTGTCATATCGGTATGAGTTTCGAAACGGAAATAACCATAACAAAAGAACTACAGATGCCAACATCTAAAATCTCTGAAATGGCCCAAAGTTCTTTCAAAATCTCCATAAAAGTTTTAATTTAACTCTCTACTCATCTTAATTAAAATTATTTCCCCTGAACAAGAGATATCTTTTAACTCACTTGTATTGCTTTTTTCTTGGAGGCTGATTCTCAGTGTTCTAATAATCGTGTTTTTCTTTTTCTTCCAGGGGAAGTGTGTGGATTTCAACTATGTTATGGGTTAAAGAGGTTTTTGAGGACTAGAGTCTGTGAACCAAATCATAATGTTTAATACTCTTTCTCCAGGAAAGTGTTCTAAGTTCTACACAGTTCCTGAGAAATGAACTTCTGGACTATAAGCCACTTATAAACTGAGGATCGAGTGTGTGTTATACACTTCCCACAAATTTTCATTAGTGATACAGAGCTGAAAGCTATCGGCCAACTCGATGCCCCAGGACACACAGTGAAAAATAAAAGAAGAAGACAACCAAGTCATAGCAGCCAGCACGTCCTCCAGACCCCCTGCCAGAGTATATGGCCAACAGAGTTCAAAATCCAACTAGTCAATATGCTGAACCTATAGATTATATAAATACTCCATGAATTCAAATGCCCATATGGTCTTTTGATGCATTTTCTTCCACCACATGTTGAAGAACAATTTGACTACAGCACATATAGACTTCGAAAACCATAGAGACGTTTAGAAAGGGCACTGAAATTGAAAAGGAAAGAGAGAGAGCAAGCCAAATCTACAGAAGTAAGCCTGGAGCAGAAGCCAACCAGCTAATTGTATTATTCAGCAGAAGCTACTTTCAGAGGGATATCAGAAATGATTGAAGAGCTGCAAAACAGAAAGTTAAAGAAACACCCAACTCTTGCATAAAACGCCAATTTAAAGATAACAGATTAGCTGATGGTCCAATGAGTCTCAGAGATGGGAATGGTGATCCGTGAAGTTCTGATCTGAACAGGGAAGTGCAAATAGCAATTGAAATCAAGTTACTATCAGAGCAACAGATGAACTAACCAGCAGCCTCCTTTTATCTCCTCCAAGATCTGTGTAAGACTGGAGGCAGCCTCCCTTGGTCAGGAAGCCTGGAGATTTGTTCCTTTGCAATTAATAGAGAAGAAAGTAAGGTGCTTTTATTGACTTTTGTTTGTTTGAGGTCTCACATTTCAGTCTAGGCCATTTATCATTCCCTCTCCAAACTCTTTCAACACTTATAGCCACTTCCACATTATTCGTCACTTAACTCTCTGCAGTCTCATATTATTCTTTGAATACTTGATGCATGCATATCTGGCCTCCTCATTAGGGTCCTAAATAACTTAAGGGCAAGTAAATTGATTGTACTTCTTAGGATCTCCCATAACACCTACACAGTTTTTCGCGCAGAGTGGGTATCTGATAAACACAGGTTGAATAACTCACAGGATGAGATCTTCACATAGAGTCACAAGCATTGAAGCAATGCCAATTCCACATGCCAATCTCAGCCCAACTTCCCAGGAAGAGCACTAATGGAGAACGTAAGCTTGGCAGCCACTGGGAGCCACATCAGAGTAGAGAAATCTCGAATCCTGTGCATAGGAGAAACTGCTTACCACCTAGAGACTAGACGCTCCATGAAGGCAGGAACTATCTTCTGTTCCCTACCCAGCACCTAGCACCTAGTAGGGGCTCACAAAACATATCTTGAATGGATGAAAAACAACTGAAACCAAGTTTCTCCCTTTTAGTCTCTTGGATTAGTGTTCCCACATCTTGTGTTTTCCTTCATTCATCATTTATAACCAATCCACAAAAATTAAGGTGACTTCAGACAACAAACCAACATGGCACCCACATGGTACACAGGGAGGTGTGCACCTCCTCTCAGGCCTGCCCAGGGAGTGTGTGGTGGGGTGCTGGTGGGGGAGGTTGAGGATCAAGGAGGAAGGTCACTGGCCTGCTAGCTGCAGGTTTGGGGCTTGCTGTGGAGTGACAACAGCTGCCCTCCTTGAGAGAAATGGCCAGATGTCAGATTGAGCTCTTGGCAGACCCTAGGCAGTGGAATGCTGCTCTGCGTGGTCCCCATCTGGCTGGCAGCTTCCTGCCAGGGAAGACTGCCAAATGGGTTGTGACATCTGTGCAGTGCACAAATCTCTGAGGTTCTTTGGTGCATTGCCATTTCTGACCTGCCTGTCTGCTACTCGTGGGAAGTAGCTGGGAAGTTCTGATGCTGAGGGACTCCATTTTCCACTGACTTTCATTTTTCAGCAGGATGCCTTACTATCTCGTCTGTTTTGTTGTTGTTGTGAGGAAGATCAGCCCTGAGCTAACATCCGATGCCAATCCTCCTCTTTTTTTTTTTTTTTTTTTTGCTGAGGAAGACTGGCCCTGAGCTAACATCCATGCCCATCTTCCTCCACTTTATATGGGACACTGCCACAGCATGGCCTGACATGCGGTGCATTGGTGGCGCCCAGGATCCGAACACAGGCTGCCAGCAGCGGAGCGCACGCACTTAACTGCTATGCCACGGGGCCGGCCCTATCTTGTGTTTTAAATGGGAGTCATTGGGAGATAGCCTTTAGCTTTTCTGCTCAACATGAACCTATTAATTCTGTATAGGAAGGAGAACTATATTCCACTCTGTTCCTGACCACTATTGGTTTTCACTGTGACCATATGACAACACTTGTTTATGAGCATCTTACAGTAATTGACATCTGTCATGGACTACCACTAGGAGAAACCACCTGCCTGAATAATTTTTTTAAAAATTAAAGATAGCCTTTTAACCATTTACTTCTTTTGAAAAAGAAATTTCAAAATCTTAATGCTTAATATCTGGAATGTTTACACCTTAAGGGATTTTGATAAAGAACTACCTTTTTACATTCTCTTAAAACAGCTACCTTTATTTAAAGTTGCTGATAAGTGAACTCAATTTGCCATCAAGAGATGCATAAATGTTAACTTAGATTCTTTTCTGCATTCAAAGATGAAAAGTTAAAAGTGAAATTTCAGACATTACCTTTCAGCATCATTCGTCCAGTGGATCCTCCAAAAGTATTGAGAAGGCCACTTCTTGCTCCTAAAGATGTGGTTGCTTCTAGGAGAGAACCGGTGATGTACTGAGATATGGAAGTCCTTTGGAGGGTGGCACGATATTCACAGACAGTGTCTTGGACACATTGCTTTAAGCATGGACCAATGCTAATCCTTTCATGGGCTCTCTCAGAGGCTGGGAGCTTTGTGAAGAAATGGAGAAGAGATCCAATTGTATCTTCTGTTTCTTGTCCCCTTCTCACTGCATTGTAGATCTGTGAATAACACAAAGTACAGGAAGTATTCATCTAGTTTCTTAGAAAAGCAAATTAACTTGTTGACAAAATGCCAAGAAGACTTATTAAGAAAGAAGGCTCCATCGCTCTAAGCACAAACACTCCAGAGCACTGGACTCATGCATTAACCTGAACATTCTACAGACACCATTTATTTGGAAAAGCTATGTGTAGTTATGAAATGGGCCATTCAAACAACCCTGCTATCAAACAGAGCACTTACAAGTTGTACCAACCAAAAATATATTCAGCTCAAATTTCTCCTCCTTCTCCTCCTCAGCAGAGCAAAGGTCTTGTGCAGAGGGACAAAGGCAAACCTTTCCTTGCTGTCTTCTTGGGGTCTCCTGAGTGACTGTTCCAGGTCTGTCTGCCTCCAAGGAACACTTCAGCCTGACATTCATGAGGAATCTTTTCTCCATGCTCAAACTGAAGTGAGGATGCGAGGGTCATGGGGAATGAGAATTTCTATATTTCTCTCTTGGGCATAATCCTTCAATCCATCAGCTTGGATCAAAGTCTTTGAATTCTTTTTCCTCTTCCTCCTCCCTTACCTCCCTCATCCAATGAGTTGACAGACCTGCCCACTCTTTCTGCTCCGTCTCTGTCACTATCCTGATTTCCTCTTCCTTTATCTCCTGAATTCACCAAGAATTATCTCAAGAAGTTTGGACTATTAGGACAGGTTCCCAACGACTGGAATTATGCAGTCGTTCAACATGCATTTATATAGATCCTGCTCTGTGTGAGGCATGGCATTGAAAGATGTGGGGGCATGTATTAAGAGTAACACACACCTCTTGTGCTGCAGGATTTCACAACCTAATTTAGACGATGAGGCCTGAAAATTATGAGGTTTGACATTATTGCGAGAGGTTTGGAGCTCTGTCAAGGTCTCTGGGAAGCCAGAGACTTCTGGGTAGTGTATAAACAACAGGGAAGTTAATGGGTGAGTTGGGGTGAGTTAATCTAGCTTTCTGATGGTGGAATAAAGGTTTACTAGTTTGCGTTATCTCCATCATGCCACCTTGAGCACCTTGCCTTGGTTGACTTGTCATTCATTAATCAAATCAACAAACAGTTACCATGTGTTTATATACAGACAGTTCCCGACTTACAATGGTTTGACTTAACGATTTTTTGACTTTACAATGGTGCAAAAGCGATACGCATTCAGTAAGAACTGTACTTTGAATTTTGCTCTTTTCCCAGGCTAGCAATATGCGGTATGACACTCACCTGTGATGGTCAGCAGCGAGCCACAGCTCCCAGTCAGCCACGCGATCACGAGGGTAAACAGCCGATATCCTTGCAACCATTCTGTACCCAACCATTCTGTTTGTCACTTTCAGTACAGTAGTCAGTAAATTACATGAGGTATTCAATATTTTATTATAAAATAGGCTTTGTGTTAGATGATTTTGCCCAATTGTAGGCTAATGTAAGTGTTCTGAGCATGTTTAAGGTAGGCTAGGCTAAGCTATGATGTTTGGTAGGTTAGGTGTATTAAATGCATTTTTGACATGATATTTTCAATTTACAATGGCTTTATCAGGGCATAACCCCCTCGTAAGTCAAGGAAGATCTGTACCAGCCATGGGTCAGGCCTGGGTAAATAAGACAGCTTTTCCCCTCAAAGAGTTCACAGTCTAGTAAGGGAGACAGACAGATAAGCAAAGATCTCAGGGTGCAAATGGAGGTCACCTCTTCTGGTGACATCAGTGACAGGCCAGGGAGGAGAAGACCCTCCATGCCCTCCAGGCCATGTAGGCACCCCCATGATGCTGCACACTTCAAATCTCACCTTAACCAGGGCCCATGGGCACTCAAGAGGACCTCTGTTGAGTTGTTCTAGGTCCTTAGGAGACCCTACTATGTACCCAGAACCCCCCTGATATTCCAGCTGCATTGACCCTAACTTGATTTCTACTCTGCCTTCCTCTGCCTGCTGGTATATACTTTCCACTTGAAGGCAGAGTGCGAATTCTTAGCTTTAATTCTCTGTCACTAAATTTCTGGTGGCTAATGTGGCCATGGAGATGGTGTGCTGGGAAAGAAAGAGCCCAGGTTTTGGGGCCAGGTATGTCGAGTTATACACCTGGCTCTGCCTTGACCAGCTAGAGACCTGGTCATGAGCATGAGCAAGCTGACTTGAATGTTAGAGACAGCTTCCTCTTGGGTAACATGGGGATAATGACATCCATTCTTAGGAATGTTGTGGGATTCACCAAGACAATACATGGCAAGTGATCAGCCTAGTGTCTAGAAATGGCACCTACTACTATTGGGAAAGAAGAGAATGGACTCTTCTATCCTCAAGGAACATCAGGTAGTTGTATAACAACAGAGCATAGTCTATGAAATTCACCATGGAGGTTATACCCCTGCTCTTACATGCTGCTGGATAATATCATCCTAACCTTATTTGGGTATATTGTGAGGGCAAACAGGGTAGAGAGCTGCAGAGCTCAGGATATGCTTTTCTTCTCTCAGCCCCAAGTCATACAAGCAATCTCTAGCACACTGAGTCTCAAACGAGTCCTTCAGAAGTAAACGCTCTAGATGTTCAGGGAAAAGAACCTGCTGTGAGGTTTGATGGCTAAAGAAGGCTTCAGAGGGAAAGCAGATTTGAGCCTTGGAAAACAGGCACAGCTCTAATTGGAGCAGCTGGGGGAGGCACACGGTAAGCAAGGGTGAAGAAGCTGGAAAACAGTGAACTCATCCTAAGGACAGTGAGCAGAGCAGGGTATTTAGAGCAGGGAGTGAGTGTAGGGAATAACCGGGAAATTAGAAAGGTCAGTTGGCCTGATAAAAGAGAGCCTTGAATGTCAAGTAAAGAGGTTTAATCCATCAGAGGTGGGGAACTCTTCACTTTTTTGTTTTTAGCAGATGAATGATGCTAAAGAGGTTTTATTTTACAAAGATGACGAGGCTGACAGTTCTTAGTTACTAACGGGTTGACCTACTTGCTTTACTTGCCAAGCTGCTCCATTGGCTCCTTATGCCCTCACTCATTATCTTATGCATTCCAGTTTCCACATCATGCCTTCAGAGATTCCTAATGTCTCATTCAGTCCCTTATCCAGCTTTCCCGAAGTGTTTTCCTCAAATCTTTAGATCTAGAGTGATTGCATGAAATAAGGACTCCTTGATCACGGAAGTTTGAAAATCTCAGTACATATTTCTCCTTTTGAAGATTTACATTGCATATTAGAATATTAAAGACAATTAAAGGGGTCAGAGCAGAGCCAGCCCTGATGGCCTAGTAGTTAAAGTTTGGTGCTGTCACCACTTCGGCGGCCTGGGTTCGCTTCCCAATCGCAGAACCATACCACCCATCTGTCAGCTGCTATGCTGTGGCAGCAGCTCACATAGAAGAACTAGAAGGACTTACAACTAGGATATATAACTATGCACTGAGGGTTTGGAGAGAAAAAAAAAAAAGGAAGATTGGCAACAGATGTTAGCTCAGGGTGAATCTTTCCCAGCAAAAAAAAAAAAGGATCAGAGTAAAGAAATCTATTTTATTTTGTTTAACTATGTGTTTGAGTATTTCTCATGTTATTTGACTATGGATTTTTTTCTTAAGGACACAGCCTGTGAATGTACTGTTGTACGAAATAATTTGTTCTAATCAAATGGCCTTTTCTTATTCTCATTTCCTTGACCTTTGTGGAATCTTTGAAATAGATAATCACCTATCTTTCTTGAAGTTCTTCCTCTCTTATCATCTCACTGCTCCATCTCTGCCTTATTCAGTGGTTCCCCTTCCTCCTCAAGCCTTCAAGACAGTTATAATGCAATAGAGAGGTGCCAACAAGTGCCTAACATAGGGGGTCATAAATTGGCTGGCCATGGGTCAGATTTATCCAAAAGACCTGCTTCATCTGACACAGTGTTTTAAAATGAGGAAGGTTTACAGACACATCTGAAGTTACAGCATCTCCTGAAAAATGGGATAATCTGGAAACACTGAGCATTCCCATGTGGTGTCAAATGACTAGACCTTCCCCCCACTGAATGGGGCATGAGTTCTACAATTGGCGCCAGTCCTCACCACTCCCTAGTAATCACACCTGGCCAATATCTGGTCACCATTGGTATATGTGTTTGTGAGCCTTGCCTTAATTGGATAGGGACATGGCTGTAGATACACACAATAAACATGTACTGAGCTCCTCCAAAGTGCTCTCTGTGTGCTCTTCCCTGTGCTAGTTGCTAAGGCTACAAAGAGAAAGCCATGGTCTCTACTCTCAATGTCTATAAATGCTATGTATTTCTTAAGTAATCATTCAGCATTGCTCTCAGCCACTTGTTTCTAAGTCCTCAAATTTGTTTGAAGAAATGAGAGATGAACAGCTCTAAGAATAAAGTTCTGAGCTGCCATCACCATTGCTAACACCCCCTCCACAAAGAACCAGAAAGAGATCAACAGGTTCTACTAAGTTCTGGGCTAACACATGCTAGTCATACCAATACTGAATGAGCTGAGTTCAAGTTGCTTGTTGGAAAAATGCTGAAATGTGGATGAAGTGGTAGATATGGCAATGCTCAGGCAACATGTTAAAATCGGGCTATAACATCTTGTTAGATCATCCACTTAAAAAAAGCAATCATGGAAAATCCCACATATATAGAATGGGAAGAGGCAGTAAAGAACGGTCATTATGAGTGTGGCTTTAGAGTGTTGGTTTGAACCCTAGCTCTCCTGCTTCACAGCTGTGTGACCTTGGACAAATTGCTTTGCCATTCTGTGCCTCAGTTTTCTTTTCTCCAATATGGGGATATAATAGTATCTGCCTCATAAGATTGTGGTAAGAATGACAAGCTTTGACAAATGTAATATGAATACAAGAGCACCTGCCACTTAGTAAATGCTCAGCATTTTGGTTTTTATGACAATGGTGACAATGATGACTGTGGTAGACTATAAAAATGGCCATATGTTATTTCCTTCACTGATTCCGGACCAGCCTTGTGATTTGCTTA